CTGCCAATGTACACCTCCGTGTGCACCACAGCGCCCTATGTGCACCACGGTGCCTTTGCACACCACATCGCTCCAGCACCATGCGTGTGTATCTGAGCCTGTACACCGCAGTGCTTGAGTGCACAACAAAGCCTGCGTACATCCTCAGGGTCCCGACCAGGCCAGAATCTGGAAAATCGAACGGAGCCCGACCGTATCAAATGGAATATGAAAGATATGTGTGTGTTCGCATTGATTTTGCTTACCAACTGAACGGTCCACCCCTGTGGGGAAGCCCACAACGCCTGTATATACTACACAGCCTATATGGTCCCGGGCTCCGGGCCCACGGCCTCCCCCCCCCAGATGGTATGGTCCCAGGATTCCTCGGGCCCCCCCCCCAGATGGTATGGTCCCAGAGACGACGACGACGACGACGACGACGACGACGACGACGACGACGACGACGACGACGACGACGGCGACGACTACGACGGCGACGACGACGACGACGACGACGACGGCTGCGGCGGCGACGACGCCGGCGGCGGCGGCGGCGACGACGACGATGACGACGATGACGACGGACGACGACGACGACGACGACGACGACGACGACGACGACGACGACGACGAGGACGACGAGGACGACGAGGACGACGAGACGACGACGACGACGACGACGACGACGACGACGACGACTCTGAACCACCACAGCACCACACCACATCCACAGGGGGGGGGAGGGGGGCACCGCAGCGCAGCACCACGCCACGCCCACCTCTGAACCACCACAGCACCACACCACATCCACAGGGGGGGGGGGGGGGGACCGCAGCGCAGCACCACGCCACGCCCACAGGGGGGGGCGGGGGGGACCTTCGCGCGGGGGGGGGGGGACCAATGGCATCAGCATTGGGGAGGGGGGGGGGGCCCAAGCCCTGGACCATATATGAACTTCAACGCCAGTGTACACACTAGTGCTTGCTTGCACCACACATGCGGCAACAGCAGCAGCATCCATGTGCACCATAGCGACTGTGTATACCACAGCGGCTGTGTACACCACAGGGCCTGAGTGACAACAATACCTGTGCACACTGATGTGTGTACACACAGCATCATGCCTATGTGCACCACTGATGCTGCACCAACATATGTGCACACCACAGCGCCTGTGTACACCAGAGCAGCCGTGTGCACCACAGAAGCCGTGTGTACAACCGATGCTGCTGCAGCACGAAGCGTCCACTGTAAATGCCACAGCTCCTGTGTACACACTGCCGATATGCACCTCCGCAGGCCTCTGAAAGCCTCCGACACTGTCGGTCGTCGGTCGTCTGTCGTCGGTCGTAGTCGTCGGTCGTCGGTCGTCGTGGTCGTAGTCGTGGTCGTCGTTGTCGTGGTCGTCGTGGTCGTCGTCGTCGTCATCGTCGTCCGTCGTCCGTCGTCGTCGTCGTCGTCGTCGTCGTCGTCGTCGCCGTCGTCGTTTGAAGCCACTCCCAGCCCGCACGTTACCAGATCCCTCCCCCCACCTCTAGCAGCGCAAATCGTGACTTTGCTGGGCTTTTCCCCCACCCCGCACCCCCAGTGACGGCCGTTGCCGCTGGAGGGTACAAAATTAGCCTGACGAAGGACCCAACCATATGCAGGTGTGAATACCGCAATTGTGGGTATCGTCTTCGGTGGAGCTCCCTATGGGCCACGAAAAGTTGTACTGGGCGGGGGAGACGCATGCGAACTTTGCCACTGGGGACTTCGGTGAAATCCCGATGGAATCGCGAAATGCCGTAATGGGCGGGGGAGACGCATGCGAGTGCAGCCTCTGGGGCCTTCGGTGGGGCTCCCTATGGGGCCACGAACACTGTACTGGGCGAGGGAGACGCATGCGAGTGCAGACATTGTTGCCTTCGGTGGAGCTCCCCATGGGGCCACACAACGCTGGAACGAGCGGGGGAGACGCATGCGAGTGCAGCCACTGGGGCATTCGGTGGAGCTCCCTATGGGGCAACGAAACGCAGTAGCGGGTGTGGAAAACGCATGCGAGTGCAGCCACTGGGGCCTTCGGTTGAGCTCCCTATGTGACCACGAAGCGCTGTACTGGGTTGGGGAAACGCATGCGAGGGCAGCCACTGGGACCTTCGGTGGAGCTCCCTAAGGGGCAATGAAACGTTTTTATTGGGCGTGGAAAACGCATGCGAGTGCAACCACTGGGGCCTTCGGTAGAACTCCCGGTGGGGCTACGAACCGCAACACTGGGTGAGGGAAACGCATGCGAGTGCAGCCACTGGGGCCTTCGGTGGAGTTCCCTATGGGGACACGAAACGTTGTACTGGGTGGGGCAGGTGCACGCGACTTTCCGCGGAGCTCCCTGTGGGGCCACCAAGCGCTGTAATAGGGGGGGCAGACGCATGCGAACTTTGCCACTGGGGACTTCGGTGGAATCCCGATGGGATCACCAAACGACGCAATGGGCGGGGGAGACGAGTGCGAGTGCAGCCACTGCAGCCTTCGGTGGAGCTCCTTATGAGGCCACGAAACGCTGAACTGGGCGGGGGAGACGCATGCCAGGGCAGCCATTGAGGCTTTCGGTGGAGCTCCCTATGGGGGCACGAAACGCTGTACTGAGCGGGGGAGACGCATGCGAGTGCAGCCACTGGGGCCTTCGGTGGAGCTCCCTTTGGGGGCACGAAGCGCTGTGCTGGGCGGCGGGGGACGCATGCGGGTGCAGCCACTGGAGCCTTCGGTAGAGCTCCCTATGGGACCACGAAGCGCAGTACTGGGCGGGGGAGACACATGCGAGTGCTGCCACTGGGGCCTTCGGTGGAACTCCCTACTGGGCCACGAAACAATATGCTGTCAACAATGAAGCTCATTGTGACTTGGCGCGGCGAGAAGCTGTGGAGATGTGGGCCCACCCTCGTCACGATGGGCAAACAGCTGATTTACTTGCAAGCCGCCCTTGTGAGACGTGATTTGTAGCGAGGTATACGGGCAACAATGTTTGCTTAGCGTGTCGCGGCGGCGGCCCCAGCGTTAAGCTATGCCCTGAGAGCGGATAGCGTGTCGCTCCGCTCCGGTCCGCGGGGCGTGGGGCTGGGAAGAGCTCGGGACGCTGACACTAGGGAATGGGGACGGAGATAGTGTGTCGCGCCGAAGCGTGGTGGGCCAGAACCAGCGGAGCGGCACGGGAAGCCAAAATTCCTGACCGTAGGGCGGCCCGTGGTGTAAAAAAAACTCTCCGTCCCATCCGTTCCTGTCTTCTCCTTGCCGGGGCTCCAGCAATTCGAAGATTGGAAAAAAGCTTCTGAGGACCACGATATTCATGCCGCACTCCTGGGATGAGCATGGGATCTCAAGGACCCTGGAGCACCCGAGCTTACACGAATCCCACCCTCAAACCCACTCTTCTTGGCTACTGCCCCTTTTCAGCAGATTCCGTGACAAGCCCCATGCCCATTTTCATCATGCACATCAGTGTATGCTTGTGAGTGCCAGCTTGAAGTCCACGACATTACTGCGCCTACACTATGACAGCATGCTCGAGGTCTTGAGCAGTCACGGAGGCGGCCGCGGTAACGACGAATCGACACTCACATGGCGCCTAGGAGGTCGCAAAGGAGTGTGGTATAAAGGGGTGCGGTGCCAATGCTGAAAGTAGCGATGTTGTCTACGATGGCCGCAAGTACGATGCACCCCGATTTCAACAACGCTGGCTTCACGTCGACCGCTTCAAACAAAGTCGATAGAAGAAAAAAAAACTCCCCAAGCGACTGCCGCCCAATCTGAACGGCGACACAAAGGCCCAATACATAACGCCGTATCGCCAAGCACGCGATTCCGGAGATTCCGGACTTTCCGAAATTAATTGATTCCGGAATTTCCGGAACGTCGTTTCGGAATTTGCGGCAGCATTGGCACCGCACCCCTTTATACCGCACCCTTTGAGGACAGCTCCTGGGCTACGACTGCAGCCAAGAGCTACATTTCCACCCTATGCTCCTGCCTGGCACAGGCTATCTTGGAGACACTAAGGCCCAGGTGCGCCCTGCTTCTGGAAGGAAGGGAAGCGCGTTTGGACCCCGAGCTCGTCCCCTTCTTTGTGGCCTTCGCCCCCTGCTCGGAAGTGGAGCGTGGCGCTGAATACGCAATCTTTAATGAGCGCAACCCTGCCCTTGCCCCTCCGTCTCCTCCCACCTCCTACCGCTGATTGTTCCCACCTTGTCCTGGTGCCCCTGAAAAGAGCAGCGAACATGACTTGCCTTTCGTGCGCGTGCGCGCGAGGAGGAAGTGAAGCGAGATCGGTGTAGGCCCAAGACGCACCAACGATTTTGCAATATATACCCTCCATCCAAGTTCCCACTCCACAGGTTCCTGCAATAATGTGCTTGCATCGCAGAAAATGCCCCATTCGAAGATAACCGTCTGAGAACCCTCAATCGTGTCGAAACATTATTCCTGTCACTTCAGCGCCGAGAATTAATGTGACAGCAGCGTCCTGACAACCCTAAATCGTGCTAACATACCATTCTTGGGACTTTACTCATACAAATCCTTGACACTGCTGTAGTCGCGCAAGACGAATGCACGCGGCGCTCAAGCGAGAGCCATATTTTGAAAAGAACCGCCCTCAATCCTTGATACGACTGCAGACGTTGAAAACGAACATGCGTGGCTCTAAGGTGAGAGCCACGGTTTGAAAACCATCTGTCCTGAATCCTTGGCACGGCTGCAGACTTTCAAAAACAATGTGCGCGGCGCTAGGGCGAGAGCCACGTTTTAAAAACGGCACGCCCTCCAGCCGTGAAACTGTTGCAAATTTAAAGCTTCAAGCGGTGAGGAAGTATCAGGCGAAACGACCGACCCGCCCTACCGACACGTCTGGGGGCGCGTCAGGGAGGAGTCATTCATACAGCAAAACTGAAGTAGGGGAACAGAGGCAAAGAAGGAAAGGGGACCAGGCGGGCGGGGGGGGGCAACGAAGTGGGAAGGAGGAGCAGGAGGAGGAGCGGCAGGAGGGGGAAGAGGAGGAGGACGCATTCGCCTTCCCACGCACGCCTTCTCGCGCCCTGGACTCAAACTCTTGTGCGACTGGACTCCGTATCGCTGGCCGCTCCCGTCCACTCCCTTCTGCAATCCCGCCGTGCCTTGTCGGTCGTGGCTCCGCTTCTCGCACGCGGTCCTTCACGGAACCTCGCGCCTCCCAACGCCCGTGAAGGGTGGGAGCGTCGTCGGAAGAGTTCAATCTAGTGTTCGTCTCCGTGGGACGAACGCGGCGGGCATGCGTAAACGTGTCGCACAACTGCCGGCCCGCTCTCAAGCATGCGTCTTGACAACTTTCATCACTGCAAGGTATCAAGATAAAGTTTGCCATCGCCTGCGCCGCACTTGGAAAGGACGAATTGCTTGAACGATTGTGGCTTCGGGTAAGGTTGACCTTCGCCATCGACACCCAAGAGTGCACGACGCCATTTGGGCCAGAATTCGCGTTTGTTCTCCAGCTGCATCCCGCCGAATTTTCCATCATATTCAGCCATATATGGGTTTTTAAACCCCCAGTACCACAGAGTGAAACCGCATTCAGCGAGAAGATAGCCAACAACTTTCGTGAGGATAGCTCCAGCAGAACGTGTATCGCGAATCATTGTAGCAGTTGTGTAGTCATGGAAAACATCTCCCACGCTAAGCGCCATGATAGCTGCAGCAAGCTTGTCGCCGTCCTTTTCCCACAATTCAATCGAATACACCTTCAAGTCAGTTTTGTCATTCCGGCAACGGTCCAAAGCGTCCACTAATTCGCGCGTTATCCAGGTGCCCTTTCCGCTCAGCCGATGCGTCTCCTCACAAGCCCAAAAGGATCCAGTATAATCAGCGTCAACTGTAAGATAAAAGTCGTTTTTGTGCCGCCTGACTTTTTTTGACCGGAGCCACGGGCAGCCTTTTGTCAAATCCAAACAATATCGTGAAATTGGATTTGGGCAGGCCACGATGGGGGAGCCAGGGCTCGGCAACGTGAAGCAAGCGTTTGACCATAATGACTGCATCAGCCGATCGCTAACAGGGGCGGTCGTCCAAACAGTATCCTCTGGACATTCCGACAGCCATTCTCCAAGTTGATGCTCTTCGCCGACATAGGTTGGCCACATGTACGCGGGCAGTTGCTTAGCGAGAAACGGCTTGACACCTTCCGAGACGCTTGGCGTTTCGGCATCAAGCTGCAACAACAAATCCGCACCCTTGAGCTGCAAATGAAATATAAACTTGCGTCCTGCAGGAAGGAAGTGAAACTCGCTTGAGCCAACGATCTGCAATTCCGAATTTGTTCCAGGAACCACACACGCTGGCTTCTCGTCGAGAAAATGCTGCCTGCTACGTTTATCGCACAAGCTCGCAATAATCTTGACATTACGCTGATCTTCTCCGAGAGGATGATCGGCTAAAAAAACAGTCCATTTAATAATGACAGTATTCACATTTGAATTAACTTGTCCAGTTGCACGCATGCTACGCGGTGAGATTGAGCCGAAACGGTTCGGAGAACCCCTGCAGTATCGAGCCCAAACTGCTCCGGACGAGCGCGGCGGGCATGCAGTATTCGAGAGTGACGCTCGCATGCAGTCCAGGTACGGTAAGCAACTGCTCAGACGTAGATTACTGAGTTCTCATATGCTCGCCTGCTTGAGCACTGTTTGCACTCTACCCCATCACTCAACATGAGCATCCCGTATTGCATCAGTATGAGCAGAATGCTAGTGAGTGCGTGTGCGTGTGCGTGTGCGTTTGTGCTCGTTTTCTTTGTGAGTGCTTAGTGCGAATACGCTGCAACGTGGTACATCGCCCCAGGGTGGCTCAAACAGTGAATCTTGGCATAAAAGAGCACGAACTTCAAATTCGTCTGAAGACACATGCCACGTTGGAAAAGCGTTAGACTGGCAGACCGTCGCAGCAGGCATGTGAGCGAAGAAGCACCATCTGCGCAGCAGCCAGAGAGCGGAATAGGAACGAAATGCCAAAATCGTAATAGAAAACGATACCATCCTGCACCCCCACCAGATATGATCGCTACCTTGTCCTTGTTCCAATCAGCTCGGAAAACCATATCAAGGAGGAATTCGCGTCAGAACACAAGCAGCCGTGGCAGACATGACTGATGATCTGTGTCAGTAGCGTAATGGTAGCGAAGCTAATAATTGGCATCGGGAGACTGAAGGAAAGAGGGAGAGAGAGAGAGAGAGACAGAGAGAAAAAGAGAGAGAGAGAGGGAGCGAGAAAAAATGAGAAACAGAGGGAGAAAGAATTATAAAAAAAGAGAGAGAGAGAAAGAGAGAGAGCGAGAATACCGAAAATGGAGCGTGAGAGAGAGGGAACGACAGAGGGAACGAGCGTAAAATGGAGTGTGAGAGTGACAGAGAGAGATTGACCAGAAATTGATGTATAGAGAATCAAACGAAGAGAGACAGACAGAAAGAGCCGGGTAAAGAGAGAGAGAGAGAGACAGACAGACAGAAAGAGCCGGGCAAAGAGAGAGCGAGAAAGGGTACGAGGGAAAGGTAAACAGAGACAGAAAGCGAGAAATCATAGCTAGGGAGTGAGTGGCACATGTGTAGAGAAGGCAAAGGACGGAAGCGGAGGGGAGGAAAAGAGAGAGAGAGAGCGCAAGGGAAAGAGAGACAGAGAGAAAAACTGCAAACGACAAAGACTATCTAACTGTAAGCATGCATACAAATACATACATACACGCACATAGAGTCAGAAAGACTGGCAGAAAAACCAGAAAGGGGGAGGGAGGGGAAGGGGCAGGGAGGGAGGTATAGAGAGAGAGAGAAAACAAACAAAAACAGAAGACAGAGGTGGGGAGGGAAGTTTGAAAAGGGGTTGGGGGGCCCAACCAGCAGCTTCGCCTCAAGCGAAGCACAGCCTCAGCTCTGTTGTACCGTGATAACGATAGTCCCAGTAGTAGAAGGCGTACCATCTTAAGCAGTAGGAAAGTCCTTTTGGTCTCGATGGTTAATCGTATGCTCACAATGAGGCACAGTCATATCTGGGCGGCCGGGCGCTTGAGCCGAAGCGGCCGCGGGCGCACGCTCGCTTCCGCTCCTTATGTCCCTCAGCTCGCTTTAGAGTCGGGGGGGGAGGGAGACGAAGCGTGAGTCCGCAGCCCCTGTACAGCAGGCACAGCAGCGCATATATGTATATATATATACATACAAACAAACATACATACATACATACATACATACATACATACATACATACAAAAGGCAGCAAAAGGGCGGGCCATAAGGAAGGTGGCCCCGCATGCAAGTTGCCTTGCCTGTACCATCCTGGTACTTAAAGATACTCCTCAGGAGGCAGCTGCAGAACCTGATGTCTGGCCGGCCCGATAGGGAGTATGAGTCTTTAGGTCATGGTTGAAGGCCTGTATACCTCCAGCGACCTGGAGGAGCATATCTCTGTCGATGCTCCCCTTGGTGTGACCCTCTGCAGTCATATCGCGGGTGTCGCACCACTGAATGAATACTGTGCACGATCCCACGCTCCATCATCTGTAGTATCCAACTGATGTGTCCTAACAGGGTTCACGCAGTCGGCTTCTTCAAGTCTTTGCTTGACAAAGAATTAAAAACAGACTCAGCATCTACTGTCAAAGTGACCTTGATGTTCAGGCCACCCACCTCAAGGATGTTTTTCAACTGAGTGGGCGTGAGCGGCCACGCGTGGAGCTCGCGCAGAGTAGCGGTGAGACTTGCAGTACGCATCGATCAAGTGGACGACAGGTTTACAGGATGGCGTATTTCCACGCCGTAGCAGGTTTGCCCCGCGAATACCATAGCCTTTGACGTCGTTATCGGCGTCTCCACTCAGGCGTCGGTATCCTGAGTCGCTGCTCAGGTCAACCTCGCCCGTAGGGGCCATCGCCTGACAGACGATCTTCTTCGGCAGGCCTGCATCTTCCTGGTAATCGCGCTCAGTCGTCGCATTTGAATATTGGTCGGTTCTTGAACACGTTGTAGCGATACAACACACCATCAACCACACCTGGGTGATTAATGCGTACGCCAGCGTACCCCTGAGGCTGACGAACATGTCTGCAACCATCTTGGATGCCTGAGCGTCAGCGCCGGCGCCAGTAAGTTCAGGATGTTGTATAGGACGGAGCTGATTGATGTATTCGTCTTGGTCCAAAGTAACATTGCCGTCCTCATCCTTGGTATATATCATAGCACAGTTGGTGCACGTGCGCTCGTTGCGCTTACATTCACCAAAGGTGTCTTCTACACACTTGACATACTTGTCAATGGTGTCCTCAGTACTGGCCATATTGAGATCATCAACATGTTTGGCCGTAAGCAGGTTGCTGCTCGTCTCGAACTCCTCGTCGTAGCACGTGGGTCGGATACCAAAACCTCGCGTGGGCCTTCTGAGCTTTAGTGAGAAAGCTCGCGGTGCATCGTTGGTCCCAGTGCTTGGTTTCGAGTGCGCGCGCATAAAATTCTCTTGCAGAGCATGGCGGGGGGAGGTCGATACCGGCTCCGTTGGGATGGTATGGTTTCACATTTAGGTTGGACGATGGGGCAGAATCATGTGTGTAAATTGCAATACGAAAAGGTGGGCCGACAAACCCAGGGGGTAGAGTCTCTTCTCTTAAAAGTTGTGCAAGCTATGTGGTGCAATATACGTAGTGCAATTAATCACTTGCTCAACGTGAAAGTGTCCCCTCCACTGCTCGCGCAAACATCCCATCCACCCACCCGCAACTTGGTTTGCAAACCCCATGCGGTGGCGATTGCAATGCATGCGCGGCGTTGGCTGGTGCATCCTTGCGGCCGCGCTAGCCCGTGCATGCTTGCGCGGCGCGCAACGACCGGCTAGTTTGGCGCGACCGACGCGATCGCTGTGGCGCTGACCACTCGGCATATTGCAGCGGGCACTTCAGTGCGAGTCGGCGACTTGGGCGGACGCGGTATCATGGAGACGTCGACAACGGTAGACACGATGATGATAGTAGCGAAGCTGGCGATGATGCTGACAGCGACGACGGGGCAGCCAGTGAAGGCACCGATGCTGATCACGCCGACGACGATGACGGCGTGCTCCCGCGTCGGTGATGAAGGTTTTGGAAAGAGTTCGACATGCGCGCGCGGCAGACAAGCGAGAGTGGCTCGCAGGGTGTTCTTTGATACGGATCGTGCCACCCCAGCACGCGGGCAAGGGCGCCCGAACGATTTCGACATGCGATCGCGCGAAGCCCGCTTGGTAGCATTCCATGAAAATGTTGAAAAAAAACGTATGGTTTTCTGCAGAATCGCAAAAGGCGCGCGCACATTTGCTTTGACAATCCATGTTGCGAAACCATGTGCTAATATATGTTTGTTGGACCTTTCATGTTTAATTCCTTCCTTCCGAAGCCGAAGGTTTTTGAAGGATTTCGGCATGCGCGCGCGCCGACGCGCGCGTGTGCACTTCGTCTCTCTTTTTGCAAGGGATTCTCGCGACGGCATGCGCGCAAATGTGTTCGAACGATTTCGGCATGCGCGCGAAGCCTGTTTGGTAGCATTTTATGAAAATGTTGAAAAATTCGTGGCGTTCTGAAAAGTTCGCAAGAGCGCGCGCGCACGTTTCTTTGAAAATCCGTGTTGGGAAACCCTGTGTTTTTATTTGTTTTGGGACATTCGATTTTGAAATCCTTCCGAAACCAAGAATTTTGAAAGAGTTCGGCATGCGCGCGCGACAACGCGCGCGTGCGCATTTCGTCACATGTTTTGCGAGGGTTCCCAGAAAACTTATGATTTGTGGTAAACGAGTGCGCGCGCATAGTATTTTCTTGCAGGGCATGGCGGGAGGGGCGTTACCAGCCCCCCTGGGATACTGTAATTTTCATAGCTAAAACGGACCATGAGGCAGAATCTTATGTACATTGCAATACGAAAAACGAATCGGTAAGTCTGGGGGGTAGGGTGGTAGAACCTATCTCCTTTTTAGAAAAGAGAATATACGCGGCCCAGCCTTTGTGATGCAATCCACGCGGTGCAATCAAGACTGTGCAATCTAGGGCGGCGACGGGGCGGCGACGGGGCGGCGACGGCGGCCACATAGCCGCCAGACCGACAAACAGGCCCAGGCGACGGGCGGCGACGAGGCGGCGACGGGATGGCGACGGCCAGCACGGAGCCGCCAGACCGACAAACAGGCACGGACGACTGGCGGCGACGAGGCGGCGACGGGGCGGCGACGGCCAGCACAGCGCCGCCAGACCGACACACAAGCCTAGGCGACGGATGGCGACGAGGCGGCGACGGGGCGGCGACGGGGCGGCGACGGCCAGCACGGAACCACCAGACCGACACACAGGCTCAATTGTTTAGATCAGAAATCAGAACACCAAGTGCAAGCACTGTGTGGAGAACATCATGAAAAGTTCACGACCCGTGCCCCAGACCTCACCTTTCTGCGGCATTTCTCCAGCGAGGTCGACATATGAGGGCCCGAAGCGGGACAAGGACGCCCGGTTTGAAAAAAGTGCAACGCCCAGATCTCAGGGTTGCGCTTGCGGCGGGCCCGGATCCTCGACGCGGGCCCCCACGGCCGCGCGCGGTAGGCCCCAAGCACGCCGCGAGCCCACGATCGCGCCAGCTTCGGGGTTGAACAGGGCCCCCTTTAGCGAAACCTGAAAGCTCCCAGGGGCACT